ACTTAAAAAAAGATTGGAGCTTTGGGACTTCGGGGACTCACTCTTCCAGATCTGGTGCTCAGCGATCATTAACGCTAAAAAAGGCAGGTGTTCGAGAGGTCCGGATCTCAGATCTACGCAGACGTACTCCGGATCTAAGCTTGGTCTTAGATCCCGAGACTTGGACGATTGTTTCCTTGGTGAATCAATCCTCCCCGGCTATTATTTCCTTTGTGGAATAATACCCGTCGTACTGCTTAGATCTGATCGGATCTAGATCTTGCGGTGGTCCACGGATAAACCCCGACGCAGGCAAAGAACCCACACAAGCGAGCGACCACAAAACAGGAGCTCGTGATTTGTTCGACAAACAAGGATAAAAAGTTGTAATCTTTCTTTTATTTTCTTTGATTTTCATTGTAACCGGATCTTATAAAAAGACCGGTTCTTTGTAACGCAAAAAGTTGTTATTTAAGAGTGCAATGGAATCAATAACAAAGAAAGCAGCGATTTTCCCCGCGAACAGCTATGGCTTTAGAAGAGTTGAACTTTAAATTTAAAAGAATGTCTAAAGAATACTCTTCTTTTAAAAAATTGCATGCCTCTTGTGATATTAAGCTTGAACAACTAACAACCTCTCTTGCTCTAAAAGATGAATTGCTAGGAGATCTCTATTTCGAGAATAAGCAACTAAGATCAAAAATTGAAAGATTAGAAATTGAGAGTTATAGAACTAGACCCACTCATGCTTATGCTAACTACAATCACCATGATAGAAATAGGTTTCATGGTTCTAACATTCGTACATACAAAAGAAATTTTGTATGCACTTATTGTATGAGACATGGACACATTTCTACTCATTGTAGAATTAAAGACAACCAATATTTTTATGGATTGATATGGGTACGCAAAGGTACCAAAACTACTAACCACCAAGGACCCAAGACTTGGGTACCTAAAGCTACTACATCTTCATCTTCATCTTTTGTAGGAAACATCACGGCAACGACGTAAGGAGATGTGGTACCTTGATAGTGGTTGCTCACATCATATGACGGGCAACAAAGAGTTATTTGCAACCCTATCAAGGATTGAAGGAGGCAATGTCTCCTTCGGTGGTGGTGAGAAAGGTAAAATCATTGGTATCGGTTCTATTGGTAAGAAACCCTCACCCATTATAGAAGATGTTTATTTAGTAAATGGTTTGAATCATAATCTTCTTAGCATTAGCCAATTAAGTGATAAAGGTTTTGATATTTCATTTAAACCGGATAAATGCATCATTAGTATAAATAGAAAAATCGTTTTTATTGCTAATCACAAATCTAATGTATACATTTTTGAGATGAATGAATTAGTAAATCAAGATGTGAAGTGTCTTGCGGCTATTGATAAAAATCCTTGGATTTGGTACAAAAGACTTGGACATGCAAATATGGAGTTAATATCAAAATTGTCTAAGAGAAATCTTGCTACCTAGCTTGCACTTCATAAAAGATACAATTTGTGAGGATTGTGCCAAAGGTAAACAAACAAAATCTTCTTTCAAATCCATCCATGAGGTATCGACTTCTAAACCCTTGCAATTACTTCATCTTGATTTATTTGGTCCTATGCGTGTTACCTCTCTTGGAGGCAAACACTATGTTTTTGTGATTATTGATGATTTTTCTCGTTTTACATGGACAATATTTCTTGCTAAGAAAAATGATTGTTTTGAAGAATTTGCTAATCATGTTAAAAGGATTGAAAATGAAAAAGATTTGAAAGTTGTTAAAATAAGAAGTGATCATGGTGGTAAATTTCAAAATGAATTTTTTTATGATTTTTGTGCTCATCATGGTATTACTCATATGTTTTCCGCTCCTAGAACACCACAACAAAATGGTGTTGTTGAACGGAAAAATCGCACCATACAAGAGATGGCACGCACTATGCTTAATTCATTTGATTTGTCAAAATATTTTTGTGCGGAAGCCGTCAACACGGCTTGCCATGTTTTAAATCGTGTTTTGATTAGACCAAAGCTTAAGAAAACTCCATATGATCTTTTTTATGGAAAAACTCCTTTTATTGGTTATTTCGTATCTTTGATGTAAATGTTTTATTTTAAATACAAAAGATCACCATGATAAATTTGACTCCAAAATTGATGTTGGTATT